CTAGCATTTCAAAGCTGAATTTCACTGACGAGCGATCAATTATATCAGATTTTACTAAAATGCACAGACTTTACTAAACCTTAAGTGACTAACGGCAAAATGATTCTATCGAGTTGTGGATCGATATATTGATTTTTTACCATACCGTTTGGACATGATTGCGTGAAATTCTCCCGTACAGTGAGCATTACAGTCTTTGAAAAGATACAGCTTGGTAGAATTAGAGCCAATAGCAAGGCGATCATTCTGTAAATATGACTATATCCTTCAAATAGCATTTGAAAGGCTATTAAAAGAAATGAGAGACTTCAAATGAGACACATTCATAGCAGACAAGCGGAGTCTGCTGATGATCCTCTTTAGAACAGCGGCTTATATTTATATAGTTATACGGCTAGCAACGTGAGGGCTCTTGACCCGATTACGATTTTGGATCGTCCTCGTCGGACCACGCCTACCCCCACGCAAAACCGGGCGGCGAATGATGCCAATAGGCTATGTTGGGCAATTTGGCCGATTTGTGCTTCTATTTATATGCCATATCTTACTGTGTCCAAGGTAGTGACCTGAATGATATATGAAAACGCTGATAGCGTGGACTCTGTCATATAATGGCATTCGCTCAATCTCGGTCTTGAATGCCATGAAGACGTCAACATAATTTTACCATTTGTAATAAAGGTTTGAAATATTTCAATCATTTCCGCTTGAAATTTGCAAATTCGAATTAAAAAAGCAACTTGTCAATCATTACATAGCTACAGTTCAACTTAAAAACATCAACGATGCCCTCTTTGAATTATTTGACTAATTTTGCTCACTACCTAGTATTGCTATTTTCCTAAATAAAATCGTTTAAATCAGATTTTGAGCAAAAAAAAGTGTTCTTTGAAAATGCTCCCCTTACAGAATCGCTTGTTACAACGTGCTCTACGATGTTATAATTAGTTTTTTCACAACCTTTCAATATCCTAAGCTTCTACACAAAGCAGAAAGAACCAGGAATATCTTCATAATATTGTTTCACTACGCAGTGTGTACGTGCAACAATGACGAAACCACTTCAGTATGAGCCCAGCAAATCTAACCAGATTCATGCATTAACTGCACGTTTCAAAAGATATCTAGCTTTTTTTCCGGAGGTAAACTGGATCACGCCTAAAGTTACCCTTTTTTACGTTTCAGTATCCAAGAAGAATTCGAGAACAAAATTTGAACTTGATCTTATACAAACTTCGGTGCTGGGGTTACTGAAAGTCTTTGCAAAGTCTTCATTTTGCTTATAACCTTATGATCTTCGGGCAACCTCTCTCAACTGTGTACTCTTTTCCTAC